AGCAAAATTTTAGGTAACTAATCCTAACGCTATTCAACATTAATCCAATATAAATTCTCTTTGATATCTGTGATCTGTTTTGACTTTGAATGGAAAACCTCTTTTCATCATAGATTTTTTGTGAAAAAAAAAAACCGATCTTGATTTAATAAATGGATTAAAAATTTAAGGAGAGAAAAGTGAAAATATTATAAATATGTTATTTTTTAATGTGTGTTTGATAAGAAAATTTGAAAAATAGATAAAATATGTATTTTTTATTTATTATTTGATAAATTTAATATGTAAGCTAAATAGAGATAGAATGAAGTGAAAAAGTTAAAAGTTGAATTTATTTCAAATAAGATTTGAAGCTTTGATTCTTATAATATTTTGTTTAATATTTTCGAATCAAGTTATTTGTTAGTTAAAATGAATTTATAACTTAAAATCCATATTGAATTTCAAAATATAAATAAATGGATTGGCAATTTTTAATCCAACTATTAATTTTAGCATTGAAATAAATGTTATGGTTGAAATTTACACCACTCGCAACTTAGTTGTCCTACCCTAGTTAACCGTCTTTCTCCTTTACAACATATAAAAAAAAAAAAAACGTAAGAAAGGAAAAGAAAATAAAAAGTAAAAACATTTCAATCGATGCCAATGTCAATTGCAAGAAGACTTCGGAAGTCTTTGTTCCTCCAAAAAAGAAGTAGATCAAGTCTACTTCAAAAAACAACATCTATTTGTTTAAACATTTCAATAGTTTAACCAAAACTACTTAACCACAATACAATTAATTCATGATTTCAAGACCCCCAGGAATTGCATACAGCCCGATCTTCAGAAGAAATACAAGCTGAAAGTGAGTTGTCAATTTTTAATTGAATTGTCTCTTTGTTGGAACCAAAAATGCCATAAATTAAAAGATTTGATTATATATTAATGAGAAAAATTTGAAAATTTTTAAATAAAATTGTTATATTTTTTAAATAGGTATTCTTATTAGAAATTTTAACATAATTTTTATTATTAAATAACTATTAATCAAATTTGAATTATAAATATCATTTTCAATAATTATTGTATATATTATTAGTTTTTCTTTGAACTTTATCGATCCATTGATTTTAATTTTTTTATTAACGTTATTATTAGATTATTTTTAACAAAAAACCTTTACAAGCTTTACTTAAAAAACTTTGTTTATATGTTATGTACAGTGCAATACCGTATAAACCATACATGTGGGAAAAAAAGGCCAATATTTTTCTTCTTGCAGTAGACAGAAATGCAAGGAAGTAATAAATTAAGGATTATCATTTTATACATCAATTATAATTTTATATATTGACAATGAAATTTTTAAAATTTAAAAACGAGATAAGGGAGTTGGCATGAATTTATTTAATTTTAATAATTAATTTTTTAATTTAATAAATATATTTTAGTGGAATACTTGTCAACACTCTAATTCTACTATCATTATGTAGAATAATTTTTAATTTAATAAATATATTAATTTACAAATTTTAAATAGGTATTTTTACTAAAAAATATCTAGTTTTTTTGTTGTTTTTATTTTGAGAATGTGAAGTTTGTTGGTAAATGAAAAAAATAGGTAAGTTGGAGGCTTATAAGTGTTTTGATGAAGGTTTTGGATTTAGAAGTAAAAAAATCGGTTTATACGTATGTATGTATGTATATATATATATATATATATTGATTAAAACTAATTAATTTGTTTTTACGTCACCTTTCTCCCTTTGTATTTACATTGCAATAGAACTCCAATTAGGAGTATATATCTAATAGGTTTTAGGAAATTGCTATAAGCGGCAATTAGTAATTATTTTTGTTTCTTAAATTAAATATTTATTTCATTTTCATATGAAGGAGCATTACTTGTATACATTTAAGTAATTGTAATCAATTTAATTAATAGAGAAGTATTATAATGTCAATGTCTTTGAACAGTAAGTATGAATTAAATATGCATATATAATAATTTATGGATAGGAATCAACTTACATTAATGTAAAACTAAAAAGTTTTATATATTTTTTAATTATTGATTTTAATAAATCAAAAGTATCATAAAAATAAATCAAAAAGAGAAAAATGATTTAATCTTATCCTTTGGATTATTAAAATTAATGATAAAAAAAGTTTAAAATTTTTTTGTGCAAGTTGATCTCTTCTCATAATTTAAAAATGCAAAGTTTGAATTTTTTATAAAATAAAGTTTAAAATGGTAATTTTAAACCAAAGCAAAGGAATACATATACACACATATGCATAGGGAACTTAGGTGCTAATTTTAATATAAATGGTTATTTATTAAAAACTCCACCCACAAGGTATAAGATAATGTTTTATCATTTACTCTGTGAATTAATATATATCATTCCCATGCAATCATTCAAATAAAATTGCAATAGAAAAATGCATTAATGTATTTAAATTAGTAAAGAAAGTAAATTCATAAAAAAATATTTTGGAAGAAATCAATTTTCATCGATCAATCATCATTATTATTGTTATCTCTTTCTAAACCTAATACCAAGAATACTATTGTTTAAACTTTTAATTATTTTTATTTGTTGAATATTGAAATATCTATTTTATTTTAATATGTCAAATATGTTTTTATTTGTTTAAAGAAATTAACAGAAGTATTAAGTTACAACTGAAAAAAGGAAAAACCAAGATAATTCATTTGTCAAAAGCTTAAATATAAGTAATAAAAAAATTATTTTCTTAATTTCTTATCTTTTTTAAGTTTAACAAATAATGATTAATATTATGTATATTAATTTAACTCAATCACATAAAATATTTACGAAAAGTTAATTTCAGTATTCATGTTAAAATAAACAATCACAAATTTTTTGGTTCACATTATTTAACTAGTAGTTAATCAATATATTCATTAAAGCTACAACCTAATTAAGATTCATCACTCCATCATTATAGTTATTAATTAATAATATAAAAAAATATGTAATAAATTTTAATTAGATAAAAGAAATAATTAAAAAAATAAAAAATTAAAGTAATTCTAATTAAATAAATACATTGGTTCCAAAAGGACATCTTTCTAATTACAATTTGAGACCCTAAATTACAGATCTCTAATTCAAATTTTGAAATAAGATATGAGATGAAAGAGTGCTACCATTTATTTGTGATAGTGTAACCTAGTATGACTTGTGCCATTTATTTATGATTTACTCTATATATGAGAAAAATGTAATTTACTTATATAATGCATTTGAGAGGTGTGGAATTCTGTGGAAGATAAAAACATTATAACTTTACTTCAATATTCCTTAAATCATTAAATCATTTTTTTCTTTAAATAATTTTTTTCTTTTTTAACTTCTCAATATTAGTTAGTCAATATTAGTAGAAAACCATAATTATTATATTTTTTTTCAAGTACGCTGGCTGCCCCACTCCAATCAACTGTGCTTCTTGTTTTTTCCGCCGTGATAAAGAAATGAAAAGAGAAAAAAGATTAGAAACATCTTAATTGACGCCAAATTCGCAGGAAGATTTCAGAAGTCTTTCAAGAAGTCTTTCACCTTATTTATGATTTACAAACGCTTTGGATCTATTTGGTTGGACGGATGTTGAAATTAGTTTTAATGAAATTAAAAATAATGGTAGAAATAAAATAGATTATTGTAATAAAAAAATTAAATGCAGTGATAGAATATGTTTGAAAACAAAAATAATGATAATGATGAGGTAAATTAGAGTAAAAATTGATCATTAAAAATATTAGATTAAAATTATATGTAATAAAAATTTTAAATCATTTTCTATTTATAAAATTATTAAATTATTTTATGTCAAATAATGATTTCATTAATAAATAATTAAGTTATTTATTAATTTATTTTAAAATAATAAAATTTATTTTTATATTAAATTTACAAAATTATTTTATAAAAGAAATATTAAAAGAAATTAAGTGATTATCTTGAAAGAGAAATAAAAAAAAATAATAATAAAGGGGCAATTGAGTACTAGAACTCAAAACTCCATTGAACGGAGGAAATCACATCACACTATAAAATTATTTGGATTGCAAAGTTACGGTTGAAATAATTTTTTGTGGCAACTGCATCTCTATTAGCAAATATATGGCAACTGCATCAATTATGGAGGTTAGAATGGAGTTTATGTATCTTTACTAAGGAGACCTATATGTTCAAAGTTCATTTACTTACTTTGGCAAATAAATTCGATGACATATACTACTTAATACAAGATTATATGTTTTAAGTTTTCTCATTTATCAAAAAAATAAAAATAAAAATGAAATATGTTTTTATTTTTTATTTTTAATTGATCAATTGTCTATTTAAAATATTTATTGAAAAATTAAGTCCTATTAAAATACATTTAATTTTTAAACATTATTATATAAATGTCATAAAATTATAATTGATTTATTCATCGTGTAAATATCACTTATTAAAAAATAGAATAAGAGTAAAATATGTACCGCTCACACGCTTCCTGCCCTGCTCTAGTTAAATAGCTTTCTCCTTTTCCCACCATAATAAATGAAAAAACGTAAGAAAGGACAAGAGAAGGAAAGTAGAAACATCTGAAATTGATGCCAATGTCAATTGGAGGAAGACTAGAGAAGTCTTTCAAGGAGTGTTTCACGTCATTCCTGAGTTACGTGGTTTTGCAATGATTCGATCACACCTTAATCTGTACTCAATCAATGCCGACATGTTTTCACCACATTCATGACTTGCAATCTTAAGTTCACTCGTATTTGTATCACATTTACTAATTTATTGGTGCCATGAATAAGTTAGTTTATTAGTCGTCATGAAAATTAACTGGAATGGGACTGAATAAATACCTGACCATTCATGCTAGCCAATGTAATTTATACCCAATAATTAACAAAATATTCCTTCGAACTATCCAAAGCATCGTTCTTAATATCATTCCAAGTCCTGTTGTTTCTCTTGCTTGTGTCGGTTCAGTCATCCTATGTTTTTGCTTCTTCAGCAGGTACTGCACCTGGTAAAGAAGCAGAAACTCTTCTTAAATGGAAAGCTAGCGTTGACAACAACACCCAAACATTGCTCTCTTCTTTGTGGGTTGGAGACAGCCATTGCAACTGGGTCGGAATCACTTGCAACAAGGCTGGAAGCATCACCAATTTAAGCCTTCCAGATTGTGGGTTCAAAGGTACACTTTATAGTCTCAACTTCTTGTCGTTCCCCAACCTGATGGGTCTTCACCTTCCTAACAACTCACTGTATGGGTCCATTACCTCACACATTGGAAATCTTTCCAAGCTCATCATCTTTGACTTGTCATTCAATAGTTTCTCTGGGAAATCCCTTCTCAGATTCGCTTATTAAAAGTCTTGAGTGGATTTCCTTAGCAGAAAATGAGATCACTGGTCCAATCCCCGCCTCTGTAGGAAGCTTGCATTATTTATCCAAGCTTTACCTTAAGAGGAACAGACTCTCTGGTTCTATACCTGAACAAGTTTGTAGCCTTTCCAAGCTCACCGAGCTTGACTTTTCACAAAATAATTTCTCCCGAAATATTCCATCTAATATAGGAAGGTTATTGAGTTCACTTTCTCAACTTATTCTCAAAGCAAACAATCTCACCGGTCCAATACCTATATCTATTGGAAGCATGCACAATTTGTCCCGACTTGTCCTCGTTGAAAATAGGCTCAATGTTTCCATACCTAAAGAAGTTGGGATGATGAGGTCACTTGTTATACTTGATCTTTCAGTGAACTACCTAACTGGTCCTATCCCACCATCTCTGGGAAACCTAAGTAACTTGGTATGGCTTTATCTGTATGGTAATAACCTCCCTGGTTCTATCCCCAATGAAATAGGACAGCTTGGATCTCTTACCACAATGCAGTTGTCAAGTAATAATCTCGCTGGTGTCATCCCTACTTCCATAGGAAACTTAACCAAATCGTCTAGTCTTTACCTTTTTGAGAATAAGCTTTCCAGGTCAATACCTCAAGAGGTAGGGATGCTTGTATCTCTTATAGAACTTATTTTATCTGATAACAATTTCTCTGGTTCAATCCTGCTTCCTTAGGAAACTTGATTAGCTTATCTATTCACTACCTTCATAAAAATATGTTTTCTGCGTCCATACCTCAATAGGTAGGGATGCTCAAATCTCTTATTGAGTTTTCGTTGAGTATGAATAATTTCTTTGGTTCAACTCTGGCTTCAATTGGAAATATGACGAAGCTTGTGGCGTTAATTCTTTTCTATAATCATTTATCTGGGCCAATTCCTTCAACGCTCAGCAATCTTACTTAGTTGCAATCATTACAATTATCATATAACAATCTCAGTGGTCCATTACCTGAACATATGCTGTGGCGGACTACTCGCTTATATTTCGGTTCACAACAACAATTTGAGGGGTCATATCCCACCAAGTTTGAAAAACTGCAAAATTTTATACAGAGTTAGGCTTGAAGGAAACCACTTCACAGGAAATATATCAGAAGCTTTTGGTGCGTATCCGAATTTGAATTATATTGCATTAAGCAACAACAGATTTTATGGTGAACTTTCTTCAAAGTGGGGGCAATGCCATAATTTAACAAACCTACAAATCTTCAATAACAACATTTCTGGAAAGATACCACCTGAGTTGAAACATGCAACTCAGTTACAGCAACCCGATCTCTCTTCAAATCATCTTGTTGGTGAGATTCCCAAGGAATTGGGGGCATTGACATTGATGTTCTGTCTTTTGCTAAGTGGTAACCAACTTTCAGGCAAAATTCCACCAGAGATTGGAGTTCTTTCAAATCTAGAACATCTTAACTTGGCAGCAAACCATTTAAGTGGGCCGATTCCTTATCAACTTGGAGAGTGCTCAAAGTTATTGGACTTGAATTTAAGCAAAAATAAACTTGGAGAAAGCATTCCATTTTCAGTGAACTACATAAATGGTCTTCAAAATCTAGATTTAAGTCAGAATTTACTTATTGGGGAGATACCACAACAGCTTGCAAAATTACATTCCTTAGAAATATTGGACCTTTCTCACAATATGCTCAATGGTTCCATCCCAAATTCTTTTAATGATTTGAAAAGCTTGACAGTTGTGAATATATCTTACAATCAATTAGAAGGCCCTATTCCTAACATTAAGGCATTTCACGAGGCTTCATTTGATGCCTTAACGAACAATAAAGGCCTATGTGGTAACGCCACTGGACTAATGCCTTGTGTTGTTGCTGCTGCTAGCAACAAAGTTGGTCATAGAAAAAGCACCAAAGTCATCATTTTCAATTTGCTTCCACTCTTTGGTCTTCTTCTGTTGCTCTTTATCATGGCTGGAAGTTTCTTTATTCTTTGCCAAAAGAACCGGACCAGAAAATCTGAGTCAATGGAGGCACAACTTGGAGATTTTTTCGCATTATGGGGATATAATGGAAGAATACTCTATGAGAACATTATTGTAGCCACTGAAGATTTCAGCTCCAACAATTTCATTGGTTCAGGAGGCTATGGAGCTGTTTATAACGCTGCGCTACCCATTGGTCAGTTGGTTGCTGTGAAGAAACTTCTTCAATCTGAAGATAGCATGCTTATCAATAATTGAAAGCCTTTGAAAATGAGGTTCAGGTTTTAACAGAGACAAGGCATCGTACCATTGTAAAGCTGTATGGCTTTTGTTCACACCCAAAGAACTCATTTTTGGTTTACGAGTTTGTAGGAAAGGGAAGTTTGAGGATGGTGTTAAGCAAAAAGGAAGAGGCAGAGGAGTTGGATTGGAAAAAGAGACTAAATATTGTAAAGGGAGTGGCTAACGCCATTCACCACTTATAATCCATCGAGATATTTCCAGCAACAATATTCTCTTGGATTTGAACTATGAGATTTATGTCTCGGATTTTGGCATAACCAAGCTTTTAAAGCCTAACTCTTTCAATTGGACCTCACTTGTGGGCACTTTCGGGTATATAGCTCTAGGTATTTGTTAATATATTTTCTTATATTAAACTCAACTAAATTTAAAGTTTTAATACTTCAACTTTTGAGTTTAAACTTTCAAGTAATTATAGTCCTTTTGAAGGGAATTTGAAGAGAATTCATGTTTGTTTAATTTTTTTACTAATATTTATTTAAAATAATAAATAGAATACATAATGTGTTGGTATAATTTTTAATTAAATTTCGCCATTTCTTTTCAACATCTATTATTCTTGCTTAATAGAGTATTAATTAACTATTTCTTTATGAAGAGTTGGCTTACACAATGATGACAGATGAGAAATGTGATGTCTATATAGTTTTGGGGTGCTAACAATGGAAGTTCTCATGGGGAGGCACCTTAGTGATCTTTGTTCAAGTTTGTCAGCATCAATACCTAATCACCAATAGATTTTACTTAAAAGATGTGATAAACCAATACCTCTCACCTCCAGTAAACCAAGTCTCAGAGGATGTAGTCTCTACTGTGAAGGTAGCATTTGCATGCTTGAATGGCAATCCCAAACTTTGGCCAACCATACAACAAGTTGCTCAAGCCCTTAGCTATCAATCGCTTCCATTGTCTAATCCTTTCTAAATCATAAAATTGGAAGAATTGTGCGATTATGGATTCTGCAATGGCTAATTAAGGTGCTATCAATTTGGATAATAATTCTAGGTACTTGTAGTTGCTTTCAATCTATTTCTTTTTCTTTGCTTTGGGTTGAAAATGTTTAAGCACTCTAATAATAAAGCTTTTGTAATGAATCAGCTGTGATATAGAATAATTGTATTTAAGCACTCAATTTGTATGTTTGAGATTTTCTATTTCTAAAACATAATTAATGGTCAGACGTAAAATTTTAACTTTTAGTATTAATTGTAATAAAATGCTTTAGTACCAATTTTACACAACACTTTCACTTTGGAATTCTGCAATAATTCTAATATCACTTTTTTATTTGTATGAACAAAGAACGAATACAATTGGTGAGTACATCAAATTACAATAAATACAACTTTACAGAATAACCTTTTAAGTTTATTTTCTCATCATTTATTCTTAAACACGCTCAAATAAATTATTTCTCGCATTATCATCTTTCTAACCCTTTTTCATTCCTTTCCTTTCAATTCATTTAAAATTTAATTTTAATTGTATTAGTACACTTAAATGGATTTGATTTGACTGATGATTTTGAAGTGTACACCTTTATTTTTTGCTTAAAACGCTAAAAAAAAGGTTGTACTTTTCTCCACTTTCTCAAATACACTTTTATATTTTTTATCCAATTGAAAGCATAAAATAATATTCTTATTTATAAAATAATATATGAAAGCCACTAAAATTCATAAATTTTACCACGTCAAGGGTAATCATCATTTTTGTTAGCTTAATTTTCATATTGCAAAATATAAAAATTAAAATTAAAATGTAACATTTAACGAATAGCTCATATAATAGGTCTAATTAACTTTCAAAGAGTTTTTATATTTTTAAATATATGTCATATAGATGTAGACATCATACAAAAATCTTCAACTATATGTTGATCTAGTAAGAAATATTTTTTTTTTGCAATATTAATCTAAAATAAGATCTTAATGGAACAAAATAATACTCTAAAGATTTAATCAGACAAAAATAATTTTAAGGACTTAATTAGATATAAGAGAAGGATGAAGGGTTATATGAAAATTTCAAGGATTTATTATCATAAAATATTTTTCATTTTTAATATTTAATTATAGTCAAGTCTAATTAAATTTAATCCAACATTTCAATAATAATAGATAGCCAATAAAATAGAAAATATAATTATTAACAAAAATAAAAAACATTTTTTTCCAAACTGAAGATTTGAGTTGAGAAAAAAAAGTTTTCAAAGTTATCCTAACCACATTTTGACAACGTTGCGTGAGATTAAACTATAAATCTCAATGAATTTTCATAACTTTTTTTTCACATTTTTTTATAATATAACCAAGAGTATCCCAAGTTTTGGTAAAGTTTATATTTATGAAATTAATAAAATAATTAATTGTTAAATTAATTTGTGTCAACTATCTAAAAATTGTTAATCTTTAAAACCATGTGACATCAGTATTAGCCTTCACTTTATAAACCAAAGTCATAGTAAATTCCAAATCCATTTTTTCTCTTCTTGCAAGTAGTAGAACAAGGTCTTTAGCCTTCCAAATCACCATCCCATTTTCCTCTGTGTCTCCTACCTCCTCTGTCTCTATTTTTCTTTCCCATCTTGCAATAGAGTCACCAAACACAACCAACCACCCTCATGTCTTGCTCAGATCTTTATTGCTTTTCCTTCAATAGATTTTAAACTGCAATGTCCTAATTATTTATCCCTCTCAAGAGTCAAATTTGGAGAAGATAACACAGAGCACAGACTAAAGTCGATGGGTATAAGGCTGTATGAGAGTTCTTTCCTTGAACCATTCGTAACTCAAATTTTAAAAAATGGTATTATTTTTTTACCATAAATTAATTATTTTTTAGTTTAACTGAGATTTAAATTTGTTGGATTTTGACTCAATTATCTGAAGTTAGGGTGGGTTTTCTTCTCTAGTTTGATTTTGTTTATTTTGCGATTTGATTTGAAAAATATGAAAAGTTGGGATGTTAATGGGTAGAGTATGAGTATGATAGAGCATTCTCCATCTCAAAACCTCGATTTTTCATATTATACCCATTTCTGTACTCATATCCGATGGATATAATCCTCATACCCATAACTTTAAAAAAGAAAAACTAAAAACTAAAATTTTTTTTAGCTTTTTTTATTTTTATCTTGTATATTTAGCTAAATTTTTATGAATATGCATTAATATATATTTTTTTAATAAAATATATTGATTTTAATTAATCTAAAATAATAATTTATATTATTTAATAAAATTTTATATACTAAACATGTAAAAATATATTTGTAGTGTACAAGTACAAGACGAGTGTTATATTACCCATCACCATCTTTTTACTCAATAAAAATTTAAAATCATACCTATCTTTATCCTTATACTTATAATATAAATTCATTTTTATCCTCATTTTGGTAAAAAATCGAGTTCTCCACTGAGTACGAATAAGATTTATATTCCTAATGAAAAGCAGCTTTAACATCTTGTTACAATCATTATTGGTTGTTATGTCGCTATTTGTAGTCACAAAGTTCTACTATGAGTGTGATTGTCGTTTACAACCCCATTTATGGGTGAATAGCGGTAGTGGAAGGTGTTGCTACCACTAAATAGCGGACACTACACTACAATGCTGGCACTATTTGAAACCTTACCAATCTAAGCCTTGTAGAATATGGTATGAGACGTACACTTCACAGTCTCAACTTTTTTTTCCTTCCCTAACTTAACGGGGCTTAACCTCCATAACAACTCATTGTCTAGGCCAATTCCCTCACACCTTGGAAACCTTTCGAATCTCACCTTCCTTGACTTGTCATTCATTCATTTCCCTGGCAATATTCCATCTGAATTGTGTAAAATAAATGTTTCATTGTATGTGTGTATGATGCATATCAACAAAATGAAATGCTATGCAAGTATGATAAAACAAAAGCGAAAGAAAAAAGATCATGTATAGATACCCAATTCTATTTGGAATAATTTGATCATCAATTTTAACCAATTTGATTGTATTAATTTTGTATTAGATTTTCAGATTCACTGTGTGTGAACTTGGCCTCAATTTAATTTAGTTTTGGATTGTTGGAACTTAGGGCCCAACATGGATAAATGTTTTGGAGCCCATCATATAGTTCTATTTAAAGCCCAATGTCGCTTATTAATGGTCCAAACCAACCCATTATACTAGCCCATTTTTACACAGCCTTTTATGGCCCAATAACACAGCCCAAATTTTCTATTTTAAATGGCCCAAAACTGGGCCCTTTCGAACAAGCCCAAAACAAAAACGAAAAAGGTGAAGGCCCATGCGATTAAGCCTGATATAGTTTTCTAAGGTCCATTTATTCCAAAGAGAGGAGCTGATATAAAAAGGAAAGCATGGGTTTGATTTAAAAAAGAAAAGGCTAGGGGGCTTATAAAAACGAAAAAGGGCTTTGGTAGCAATAAAAAAAGGGGAGAGATCTGAGGGTCAAAAAAAAAAAATAGCACACTAAGAAAAAGTAAAATGAAATGCTTTCAAAGGATAGAGAGGTCTTTTAGCTGTTAAAAAAACGTAAAGGGGAGAGAGTGCTTTCCGGAAACAATGTGGGGGCTTTTGTCAAAAAAGAAAAAGGTAAGAGTCTTTAGAAAACTTGGAAAAAGGTATCACCTTTGGACCCTTTTTTGGGCATTCTTTATATGCATAGGATATTTCGTGCTTTCCCTATAAAGTTTTATAGTAGAAAGTAGCTTTGATATTTTTCCATGTTTTGGGCATAAACAACCTTCTTTTTTTTTTTTTTTTAAATATATAGGGTTTGCATGCTTATCTTGTAGAAAAAGAAAAGGTTAAAAATGTAAGCTTTCTAAATGAACTAGGGGAGTCTCTTTAAAAACCAAGAAATAGTTAGTGTTTTGGCTTTTTTTTCTTTGATGCACTAAGAGCTTTAAGCTTCATCTTGATTGGTATATGTTGGCTGTGATGAA